ATTTTTAAATTATACAAATTCAATAATTATTAATTTTATGGAAAAGGCAATAATAATTTATAAATAAATAAATGTAAATCGAAAATCAATACAGTTATATATGAGAAAGAAATATTACGTAAAAGAATAAAATATTAAATAATTTAAATAATAAAAAATGTATAAAGTAAAAATAAAAAAGAGTGGTACAACATACAGAAGATGATAAATTAAAATTGTCAAATAGAAAAATAGATAATTATTAATAATACAGTAAGAAAGATAATAAATACAAAGAAAAATGTAAATGAAATAAATAAAGCAAATAATAAATTATAAATTAAAATCAAAAATTGATTTTTAATAAAAAAGAAGAAATATCAAAAGTACTGAAAGTTAAACACAATTTTCAAAGGGAAATGATTTACAAAAAAAAAAAAAAAATAATTGATATATTAATTATTGCAAAATATCAATAGGTAATATTGAAATGTCACTTTTGTTCCACATTGTAGAAACTTATGTGACGGGTTGTTAAAATAAAATTATACATTAGCTACAGAGAGAAATAGTAATTAACAATTATTTAGAAAATATACAATTATTCCTTCAAAACGAACATGTAAAACGAGTTCTCTATAATACCTGTTTTTTATTTTTTATATATAGTGAAAAAAATTAATTTTTATTTTCATTAAAAAAAAAAAAATTTCTTTTGCGCAATATTGTTAATCATTTTTACACTATCAATATTCAAGACAAAAATTATTTAATAAATATTTTCTCTACAAAACAGGTTAGATTTGTTTGGAATTTTTTTGTAAAAAAAAATTGTTTTTTGGATTTACTTTAAACCTACTTTGAACCTACTTTAAACCTTCTTTAAACCTACTATGACCTATATTCAAACTAATTTGAACCTTCATTGGACCAATATTGATGCTACATTGGACCTACTTGGACCTAAATTGGACCCATATTTAAACTGCTTTGACCTACAATTAACGTACATTCAACCTTCATTTGACCAATATTGACGGTGTATTGAACCTACTTGGACCTACATTGACCTACATTTAACCTATTTTGAATCTACTTTGATTAATATGGACCTTACTTTGTACCTATATTGGTACTACCTTAAATTTACATTGACGTACAATTAACCTACATTAAACCGACAATCAATTCTATTTTAAACCTACTTTGAACCTATTTTTAATTTACATTGAACCTACTGTGAACCTACATTGGACCAACATTGATCCTATATAGAACCTACTATGACCTAAAATAGGTCTATATTAGACCAAGCTATTTATTTTGGATCTAGTTTGAACCTACTTTTAACCTACATTGAACCTACATTAAACCTACTGTGAACCTACATTGGACCAACATTGATCCTATATAGAACCTACTATGACCTAAAATTAGACCAAGCTATTTATTTTGGATCTAATTTGAACCTATTTTGAACCTACTTTGAACCTACTTTGAACCTACTTTTAATTTACATTAAATCTACTTTGAACCTACTTTTAATTTACACAGATCCTACTTTGAACCTACATTGGACCATAAAAAAATATGAAAACATATTGAAAATTAGACTTTTTTTGATATCTGATTTTTGTTTAACAATAATTATATTTCGTATAAGATTTTTTTTATATGAAGATTAATGGTTTAACATATTAAATGGTAGACGGAAATGAAATTATTCTCTCTCTCCCCTCTTGTGGAGAGTTTCTACATATCCATATAAGAGACCATAGAACAGCAGGTGGCCTAATCTTACCTAATCTGTGGGTCATACAAATTAATGTTACGAGGTTCACAGCCATCAATGGACCATCGTCAGACCACCAGTACCATTTTAGCCTTTGAAACTACCCCAACAAGAGAGTCTCTCTCTCCCTCCCTCTCTCTCTCTCTCTCTCTCTCTCTCTCTCTCTCTCTCTCTCCTCATCCTTTTGACCATCTCACTCTTTCAAATAGTTTGCTTGTTGGTATGTATATACAATATATATATATATATATAGAAACTGGAAGCTTTCAAGGGAGCAGTAACAACCAAAACAGGGCCTGAGGTTGAGAGAGCGAATGGCAAAGCAATTGGGAACAATGTCTTGTTAGGCAATTTACTTTGTGATAATAGATGAGAAGAACCTCTAGTCGTTAAGACTTTCGACTTTCTCCCACAGACACAAACACACACACACACATATACATACAGATCTGTTTGTCCCTTTGATAATTACTTTCGAGATCGTTAATTACGTTTCAGTAATTCTCGACTTCATTTATCCGAAAATGGTGTATACCAATGAAAATACCTCTCTTTGAATTAGTTGATGGTAATTCAGGTAAAAAGATAACAAATAACTATAACTTTAAATACATTTGCTTTCTTCAATTTTTTTTTTGTCCTAATTTTTAAACAAGATACACTCAAAAAAGTACATTTATTTTCGATAGAATCAAATTTTCGTCACTCAGAAGAAAATTTTTTGTTAAAACAACCAAATTTTTAATTGAATCAACCGAATTGTAAATTTATTGCAATACCTAAAATTGCTATACTTTTAACTAAATTTTTAGTTGAAACAATAAAAATTTAACTGAATATAAAATCACTTAAATACGAATTTTGTTAAGGGAAGATTTGGTTAAATGATGTTTAGTTAAGTAGAAATTTGGTTAAATAAAAGTTCTGACAAATAGAAATTCGGTTAACTACAAATTTGATTGAAAAAAAATTCAGTTAAATGACAATTTAGTTAAATAGAAATTTAGTTAAATAAATATTTGGTTAAATAAAAGTCCTGCTAAATCTAAATTCGGTTAAATACAAATTTTATTGAAAGAAAATTCGGTTAAATGACAATTTTGTTAAATAGAAATTTAATTAAATAAATATTTGGTTAAATAAAATTTCTGCCAAGCAGAAATTCATTTAAATATAACTTATTTAATTGGAATCTAGCTAAATATATACTCAGATAAATATGAATTTGGTTAAATGAAAATTCGGTTAAATGACAGTTAAGTTAGATAGAAATTTAATTAAATAAATATTTTGTTAAATAAAAGTTCTGCCAAATATAAATTCGATTAAACACGAATTTGATTGAAAGAAAATTCGGTTAAATGACAGTTAAGTTAAATATAAATTGGGTTGGAAAGAAATTTTGTTAAATAGAAATTTGGTTAAATAGTAATTCGGTTGAATACAAATTTGATTAAAAGAATCTTAGGTTAAATGACAGTTTAGTTAAATATAAATTTAATTAAATAAATATTTGGTTAAATAAAAGTCCTGCCAAATGAAAGTTCGGTTAAATGACAGTTCAGTTAAATTGAAATTTAATTAAATAAAAATTCAGTAAAATATAAATCCTGCTAAATAGAAATTCGGTAAAATAAAAATTATTTTACTGGAATGTAGCTAAATGTAAAATAACTTAAATACGAATTTGATTAAAATATGGTTAAACGACATTAACTTTGTTAAAAAATTGCTAAAATGACTTTCAATTTTATTCATTTCTTGACTGTACATTCATTTTGTAATGCAACTGGAATTGTAGAATGTAGTAAAAGTATGGAATTTCACTTGAAACAAGGTCGAGAAAAATAAGTGTAATACAATTTCTAAGAGTTATAAAACAACAAGGAATTTATTATAAGAAATATATATATACAATATATATTTAATATCTAATACAAGAAAATTTTCTCTAACTTAAATTTTAATCAATTTTCAATACAATTAACTAATAAATTTATTTCATTAATTTTTCTTTTATTAATTGTAATTTGATTAAAATTTTTATGAACATAAAGAGAAAAAAAAATTAATTTTTTAATAGTTTTATTTTTGTTTTTTTTTTTTTTTTATTAAAATTGCTATAACAATTGATGTTAAATTATTTTTTGCGCAATTCTATTGAAATGATAAAATCGTTAATAAATTAGAAAAAAAAAATATTAAAATATTGTATCTCTCCTACTCATTATCATCATGATTACTTGTAGAACGAGTTTAAAAAACCAGTTTTATTTTTATTGCAGACAGAGATAATGATATTAAAATCTTTAGAGATTATGTCCGTTAAAATTTAATATGATTGCTATTATGTATAAATAAATTGTACTATATGATATTTACATATATTGACATTAACGAAGTTCCAACAACAACGATCAGAAGTAAAAATAATTTATTGACATAAATTAACTTCTCAATTGAAGAGAAATATATATATATATTGTTCTACACTAATTCTAAATAATTAAAGAAGTGGGTTATATCAATTGAACCTATGATATAAAAAAAATTGCGATTTTTACCTTTCGCTGAAAATTCAAATTGAATATAAGAAATTTTTTTCACAAATATTTATGAAATTAAAAATTTTTTTGTATTATTTCTTTTTGTATATTAATATTTTTACATTCTTACCATAAAAATGAGAAAGTATACATAAAAGTATAACTTTACTAAAAAAAAAGAAAAAAAAAATTCTTTTGAATTAGAACAAACTTTTCTCGATAATTTTAAAAAACATTTTTGGATTAAAAAAAAAATTTACAGCCATAAAGTTGCGAGATATTTTTTTTTTCGAACAAATAAAAAAAAACCACCAGGATTATAAAATAATGAAATATTTATTTTTCGTCGAAAATAATTTCAAAATCTTTTTTTTCTTTTTTTTTGAAAAATGAAGAATCTTCTTAACTATTTTATAATATGAGTGATTTGGTTTGTTTGTTGTTGATAAACAATTTTATCAGACAGTAAACTCAATGGTACATATAGTACTTATATATATATATATATATATATATATATATATATATATATTTATTAAGATCCAATCAACCTTTGAGCATAGCAAAAAGAAAATCTTAAGAATATAATAGTTAAGAATGCTAAATACATATATATATATATACACGAGTGTATAATGTAATCCATGTCTGAACTGTCAATTAAATAGAGCCAGTCAGTCAAACATACCAGATGTTTTCAGATAAGAGGCGTGCACCGTCAATATTCGTAATGCACAGTCAGTCGTTCAACGCCTGTGAAAGGTGCTTCATACCAAGTCTTTGGAAAAAATCTCTTATAAATAATGTTACATAATAAATTATCAAGATAATAATAATTAAAAATTAATAATTAGTTTAATAAAAAAAAAAAAAAAAATAGCAAAAAATGAAGTTAAAACACACATTTTCATGTTTCAATAACAACAATATCATCAATAATGTGATAACTGAAATCCCAGATAGGCCGAAACAACAGAAAGATCCTCCAAAACCAGGAAGTCGTATACTGCAATTTATTACTGCAATTAATGGTAATTAAGTAGTCGTAAGTAAAAAATTATTGAATACCATTTCATTAATTTTGCAAAAAAAAAAAAATAATTTAATATCATTTAATTCTTTCTAATTTTAATAAAGAATTTTTTATTTTCAAAATTTTTGTTGCGTCGAAAAAAAATTAAAATTAATAAAAAAAAAAAAATGTTCAATATTTTAAATTTATTAGTTTAATATTTATCAGTTGAGCCTAGAAAACTTTATAGTTGAATTAATCAAAAGATTTTGTTGAGATAGAGAAAAATTTCGATATTTCGATATTTCTACTTTTATATAGAAAAATAAAGAATTTTTTTTTTGTAAATGTTTAAAACTATTTTACAGTTTTGTTTTTCTTTTAAATATAATGTATAAATATTGTGTGATAATGTTTTTTTTCTTTAACGCAAAGCCATTTTTAATGACAAGCGTAACCTTGGAATTCCCGCCGTTCGAAGGCATTTTATTTGTTGTAGATTACATCAAAGTCTATCATATTTGCAATGTTTATAATTTTATCAGTTACAAATTGGAAATATTTTTTTTATTTAAAGCTGTATAAAAAATATTAAAACAATTTATTATTTAGTCCGTATATTTTAAAATTTTTTTCAAAAACATTTTATTTTTCTAAATTAAAATCCCTTTTTTTTAAAATATAAAAACCTTAATTAAATTTCTGTGGCGGAAAAATTTTATTAAGCAAATTTTTTATTTAACCAAATTGTCATTTAACTGGATTTTCAGTTTAAAATCAGTTAAATGTAAATTTAGTTAAATAAAAGTTTTTGTGAAATAAAAATTCAATTAAACAGAAAATACATATTTTATACAGAAATCTAGTGAAATATGTTAAATATAAATCTAGTTCAATATAAATTTGGTTAAACGTATTTTCATTTAAATAAAAATTCAGTTAAATGAAAATTCCATTAAATGGTAATTTTGTTTTATAGAAATTGTGGTGAATTTAAATGTTTTTAAATACCGATTAAATTAAATTAAAATTTGGTTAAATAAAAATTCGGCTTAATAGAAATTCGGCTAAATAGAAAATCGGATAAATAGACATTTGGTTTAATGGTAATTTCGTTTTATAGACATTGTGTTAAATATAAATTCTGTTAAATACAAATTTGGTTAAATAAAAATTTTGCTAAATGGAAATTGTATTAAATTTAAGTTGTGTTAAATAAAAATTCTGTTAGATATCAATTAAATTAAATGAAAATTCGGCTAAATAGAAAATTGGTTTAACTGTTTTATAGAAATTGTATTAAATATAAATTCTGTTCAATAAGAATTTGGTTAAATAAAAGTTTGGCTAGATAGAAATTCGGTTAAATAGAAAATCGGATAAATAGATATTTGGTTTCATGATAATTTTGTTTTATAGACATTGTGTTAAATATAAATTCTGTTAAATACGAATTTGGTTAAATAAAAGTTTTGCTAAATGGAAATTGTATTAAATCTAAGTTGTGTTAAATAAAAATTCTGTTAAATGTCAATTAAATTAAATGAAAATTCGGCTAAATAGAAAAATGGTTTAATTGTTTCATAAAAATAGTATTAAATATAAATTCTGTTAAATAAGAATTATGTTAAATAAAAATTTGGCTAGATAAAAATTCGGCTAAATAGAAAATCGGATAAATAGACATTTGGTTTCATGGTAATTTCGTTTTATAGAGATTGTCTTAAATATAAATTCTGTTAAATACAAATTTGGTTAAATAAAAGTTTTGCTAAATGGAAATTGTATTAAATTTAAGTTGTGTTAAATAAAAATTCTGTTAGATATCAATTAAATTAAATGAAAATTCGGCTAAATAGAAAATTGGTTTATTTGTTTCATAGAAATTGAAATATAAATTCTGTTAAATACGAATTTGGTTAAATAAAAATTTGGCTAAATAGAAATTATATTAAATCTAAATTCTGTTAAATAAGAATTTGGTTAAATAAAAGTTTGGCTAGATAAAAATTCGGCTAATTAGAAAATCGGATAAATAGAAAATTGGTTTAATTGTTTCATAGAAATTGAAATATAAATTCTGTTAAATACGAATTTGGTTAAATAAAAAGTTGGCTAAATATAAATTGTATTAAATGTAAATTCTGTAAAAGAAGAATTTGGTTAAATAAAAGTTTGTCTAGATAGCAATTCGGCTAATTAGAAAATCGGATAAATAGAAAATTGGTTTAATTGTTTCATAGAAATCGAAATATAAATTCTGTTAAATACGAATTTGGTTAAATAAAAATTTGGCTAAATATAAATTGTATTAAATCTAAATTCTGTAAAAGAAGAATTTGGTTAAATAAAAGTTTGTCTAGATAGCAATTCGGCTAATTAGAAAATCGGATAAATAGAAAATCGGTTTAATTGTTTCATAGAAATTGAAATAAAAATTCTGTTAAATACGAATTTGGTTAAATTAAAATTTGGCTAAATAGAAATTGTATTAAATCTAAATAATGTTAATAATCAATTAGATTAAGTGAAAATTCGGTTAAATAAAAATTTTTCTTTATATAGACACAGAAAAAAAATTTGGTTAGAAATTTGATTGAATCAAAGAAATAAATGCATTGCTATAGAGTTAACCAAACATTTTGTTTGAACGAAACAAAAGTTTATTTGGCTCAATTAAATATTTTAATTGTTGGAAAAATTTATTAAATTCAACAAAACTTTTATTTAGATCAAAGAAATATTTTATTAATTTGACTTATCACGACAATTTTTGGGGTTTTTTTCTCAATTTAAAAAAAAAATTATAACAAAATATTAGTATATCAGTGACTCATGAAAATTTGATCTAATTTAGAATTCAAGTATGTGGGTGGAATTTAAAAAAAAAATATATATATATTTTCAGTGAGTTTAATCTTCATGGGATGTGGAGTTGCCGATTCATGGACATCGCCAGCATTACCATATTTACAAAGTCCTAATTCAAAACTTCCAGTTAGTGAAAAACAAGGTTCATGGGTGGCATCATTATTTAATGTTGGTGCAATATTTGGTTATATTGTTTATCCATTATTTATTGATCGTTTTGGTCGTAAATATACAATTCTCATTTTATTTATACCGCAATTATTATCATTTATATTAATTTATGTTGCAAAAAGTGTTATATTACTTTATATATCAAGAATAATTGGCGGTCTTGGTTATTGTGCAGGTGAAATTGTTGGCTATATTTATATTGCCGAAATAGCTGAGAAAAAAATTCGTGGCTCATTAATTATACTTGAGGCAATATCATATAATGTTGGTAGTTTAATTGTTGTGACAATTGGCGCATTTTATTCATATAACAAAATGAATTTAATTAATATTTCATTGCCACTATTATTTATATTAATATTTCCATTTTTACCTGAATCACCATATTTTCGTTTAAAACAAAATCGTAAAGAAGAAGCAACGAAAATTTTATCAAAACTACGTGGATTAAAAGATCCAACTGCACTTGAACCTGAAATTAATCGTATTAAAGAGGCAATTATTGAAGGTGAAATAAGTAAAAAATATGCAATGCGTAAATTATTTGAAAATAAACGTCATCGTAAAGCTCTCTTTATTGTTGCACTTGTTAAAGCAAGTACAGCATTTTCGGGTTATTTAGCTGTTTCTTCATATAGTCAGGAAATTTTAAGTTACAGTGGTTTTTCATTAGATCCAAAATTTGGTACAATTGTATTAACATTAATACCAATATTATTTATAATACCAACAACGCCATTGGTAGATTATCTTGGACGTAGGTGGTTGACATTATTATCGGCTTTAATATGTTCAATTAGTTTATCAGTGGTGGGATTATTTTTTTTCTTAAAGTTTTATTTAAAATTAGATTATCATGTGACATTAATTTCTTGGTTACCATTGGTTGCATTAGTTGTTTTTAAAATTTCTCTAATGGGCGGAATTTATTCAACATCAAATGTATTGGCTTCAGAATTATTTCCAGTTGAAGTTAAAAGTTCAGCGTTTGCATTTATAAGTATTTCAAGGGAAATTTTACTTTTTTTAGTTAATTTAGGCTTTAAATGGTCAATTGATAGTTTTGGTATTTATAGTGTATTTTGGATGTATGCAGTGTCTTGTTTGGCATTGTCATTATTGGCATTTTTAATAATGCCTGAGACAAAAGGAAAAAATTTAGAAGAAATTCAAGTATTATTAGACTGATGTTTTTTCTGCATGTGTGTGTGTGTGTGTATTTTTTTTAACAATTGTAAATCGATAAGTATTTAGGCTATTTTAAGTATGATAATAAAAGCGAACATGACTTCTTTCCCTTGTTTTTTTTTTTTTTATTTTACAAACCATATTTCTAAAAGAAAATAATTTTCTATTGTTAAAAAAAAAAAAAAACTCCATTAAAGTAATGTATCAATCAAATGTATCTTCATCAATCAACTATAAAGTCTTGATTTATAAATTCAACAGGGCTATAGATAAGATTCAATGAATATGCCATTTTTTATTCTCAATTTAGTACCAAAGAATTGTCATTCGTGTTGTGAAAATTTTTAATTGTCAAAAAAAAAGAATGAATTTACGATCTATATTTTTTTGTCGACAAAATAAAATTTCAAAAAATGCTGATAAAACGAACAGAAAGAATGGAAATCAATTGTTTCAAATACTTGTCACTATCAATGGTAATTATTACTCAAATTGAAGAAAAAAAAAAATCAGAAAATAAAAATTAAAAATTTTTTGAATATTTTCAGTTTGTTTATTGTCAATTGGATTTGGTGCAGCAGATTCGTGGCCCTCACCAGCATTACCATATTTAGAAAGTGAAAATTCACAAATTCATGTTATAATGAATCAAGGCTCTTGGATAGTGTCGATATTTAATTTTGGCGGTGTTTTTGGTTTTTTATTATGTCCAATATTGGTCGATCGATTGGGACGTAAAAGAACATTATTATTTTTTGCCATACCACAAATAATCTCATGGATATTAATTATTCTCGCTAAACACGTATACATATTGTATATTGCAAGATTTATCTGTGGAATTGGATGTTGGGCGAGTTTTAATATAACAACAATTTATTTAGGTGAATTGTCAAATAAAAATATTCGTGGTACATTAATAAATATTTCATCGGCTTCATTTAATTTTGGTACTGTTATTTGTGTAACGTGCGGTGCATTTCTTCATTACGATACAATGAATATAATTTTATTAATTATACCAACATTATTTTTATTAACATATAAATTTTTACCTGAATCACCATATTTTTATATTAGACAAAAAGAATATAAAAAAGCTGCCACATGCCTTATTAAATTACATGGGACAAATAATTTAAAATATTTAGAGGAGGAAATTAAGAGAATTAATGAAATGATTATTGCCGTTGATAATTGTAAAAAACATATATTTCATGATTTATATAAAAAACATCGAAAAGGATTTATAATTGTATTAGTATTAAAATTAGCATACGCATTATCGGGATCGGCACCAATTGCATCGTATACACAAGAAATTTTAAGTTATTCCAATTTTTCATTATCACCAGAATATTCGTCAATTGTATTAATGTTTGTAATATTTCTTTTTTCAATTTTAATATCACCATTTTCTGATTTAATTGGTCGACGATTATTGACAATTTGTTGTGGTATTATGTGTGCATTAAGTTTAGCTATACTTGGTTTATTTTTTTTTGTGAAATTTTATCTTAAAATTGATGTTTCATCATATACTTGGATTCCATTATTTGATTTAATTATATTTAATTTATCCGGTTGTTTAGGAATTTTTGTTATGCCAACGTTACTTGCGTCTGAAGTATTTCCAATGGAAGTAAAAAGTATTGCATTATGTATTGTGGATATTTTTAAAACATTTTCCATGTTTTTAGTAAAATTGTCATTTAAAAATTTTGCCAATAATTTTGGTTTTTACAGTGTATTTTGGTCATTTTCATTAGCGACAATCATATTAAATTTAATTGCTTTTTTTATTATGCCTGAAACAAAGGGGAAAACTTTAGAACAAGTGCAATTACTACTTTCTTGATTTGACAATTATTTTTTCTAAATTATTTTATTTAAAAAAAAAAATGATTAAAAATATTTAAATTTTTTTTTCAAAAACGAATTTTTAATTTTATTTTTATATTTTAGTTTTTACTGTAATTTATAAAAATATTATTATATTAGAACCTATAATCTAAAGATTCATAAATTAATCCATATAAAATATTATCATTTTACATTATTGATAAGATTAGATAAATAATAATTGATGTACATATATAATCGTCAATAGAATTTAACAGTAATTTCTGAAAAATCGAAAGTTTGACCATTACCTAAAACAGTGTACAAATTTAAGTCGATGAAGTAAAAAAAAAGCAACAAAATACATAAAAATTGAAAAAAAAAAATTATAACTGAAACTAAAATTTTAAGTAAAATTGAAAATAAAATCTAAGAAAATTAGTAAAATTAAAAAAAATATTAATAATGAAATATTGATATTTACATTTATATTCGTGATAAGAAAAACTTAACAATATTTAGAAAAATAGAGCAAATTTCTTTTCTGATTTTAAAACAAGAGTGTAAAAATGATAAGTGAAAAAAATTATGACAAGAGTGATTGTAAAAATGATGAGAAAACAAAAGGACATATACTACAGATTATTGCAGCGTTTAGTGGTAAAATAAAAACAAAATTAATTTACAAAAATTTTTATTTAAAATTAATAAAATTTGATTATATGCAAGTGATATTTTTTTTTTTAGTAAATATATTGTCAAAATCTTCAGAATTTTTAACATTCATGGCAATGATAATTTTTTACTTAATGTGAGTACTTAACATCAGAAAATTAAAATAACATAGAAAATAACATAAAATAATAAAAAGAAGTCGTAAAAAAACAGAAAATAACGTGGAATAATAAAAGGATCATACAAAAGAAAGAAAATAACGTAAAATAATAAAAGGGTAATAAAATACCATTTAAAATAACATTAAATAATAAAAAGTTAATTAAATAATAAATAAAATAATAAAAAAGTCAAAAAATAACATAAAATAATAAAAAGGTCAAAAAATCATATGAAATACTGAAAAAGGCATAAAATACCACAGTTAATAACTTAAAATAATAAAAAAGTCAAAAAATAACATAAAATAATAAAAAGATTACAAAATAACACAGAAAGTAACGTGAAATAATAAAAAGGTCATAAAATAACATTGAAAATAACAGTAAACAATGAAATGGTCATAGAGTAATACAGAAAATAACATAACGTAATAAAATGGTAGTAAAATAATAAAAAGGTCGTAAAATAACACAGTAAATAACTTATATTATTCAAAGAAGTCATAAAATAACACAGAAAATAACGTGAGATAGTAAAATGGTAAAAAAATAACATAAAATAATGAAAAGGTCATAAAATAACACAGAAAATAACGTGAAGTAATAAAAAGAATATAAAATAACAAATAAATAACATAAAATAATAAAAATCTCATAAAATAACACAGAAAGTAACGTGAAATAATAACAAGGTCATAAAATAACATTGAAAATTAACAGTAAACAATAAAATGGTCATAGAATAATACAGAAAATAACAACGTAATAAAATGGTCATAAAATAATGGAAAGTTTATAAAATAACACAGTAAATAACTTATATTATTCAAAGAAGTCATAAAATAACACAGAAAATAACGTGAGATAGTAAAATGGTAAAAAAATAACATAAAATAATGAAAAGGTCATAAAATAACACAGAAAATAACGTGAAGTAATAAAAAGAATATAAAATAACAAATAAATAACATAAAATAATAAAAATCTCATAAAATAACACAGAAAGTAACGTGAAATAATAACAAGGTCATAAAATAACATTGAAAATTAACAGTAAACAATAAAATGGTCATAGAATAATACAGAAAATAACAACGTAATAAAACGGTCATAAAATAATGGAAAGTTTATAAAATAACACAGTAAATAACTTATATTATTCAAAGAAGTCATAAAATAACACAGAAAATAACGTGAGATAGTAAAATGGTCAAAAAATAACATAAAATAATGAAAAGGTCATAAAATAACACAGAAAATAACGTGAAGTAATAAAAAGGATATAAAATAACAAATAAATAACATAAAATAATAAAAAGCTCATAAAATAACACAGAAAGTAACGTAAAATAATAAAAAGGTCATAAAATAACATTGAACATAACAGTATATAATAAAAAGGTCGTAAAATAATACAGAATATAAAATAACGTAATAAAAAGGTCATAAAATAACATAAAATAAAAAAGGTCATAAACTAACACAATAAATAACTTATATTATTAAAAAAAGTCATAAAATAACATTAAAAATAACATAAAATAATAAAAATAACGTGAAATAATAAAAATGTCAAAAAATAACATAAAATAATAAAATAGTCATAAAATAACATAAAGAAAATAACATAAAATAATAAAAAGGTCATAAAATAACATAAAATAATAAAAAGGTCATAAAATAACATAGAAAATAACATGAAATAATAAAATAACACAGAAAATAACGTGTAATAATAAAAAAAGTCATAAAATAACATTTAAAGGTCATAAATAACATAAAGATAATAAAATAATGTAAAATTATTTAAAAAATATAAAGAAAATGTAAAAAATATGAAAAATAACATAAGAGTCGTAAAATCTTAAAGGTCATAAAATAACTTGTGTAGAATAAAATTAACAAAAAAAAAAAGAACAAAAATAAAATTATAAAAAAAAATTATTAATTACAAAATGTTAAAGGTTCCTGAAATTTATTTATAATAAACAATTTTTAAACAAATAACATTTTTTTTTCCAAAAAAACCAGCATCAATAACAATGATTGGACTTGGAGCCACTGATTTATGGACATCACCTGCTCTACCATATCTACAAAGTAATGAATCAGAATTGAAATTATTGCCAAATGAAGCATCATTAATAGCATCATTACTTCACATTGGTGCAATAATTGGCTATCTTATATATCCATATTTAATTGACACTGTTGGTCGTAAAAAGACATTATTATTATTTTTTCTACCACAAATTGCCTCATGGTTAATGACAATTTTTGCAAAAAATGTTTATACACTTTATTTTGCACGTACAATAGCTGGTATTGGTTATTGTGGTGGTTTTGCAGTACAAGCAATTTATATTAGTGAAATAAGTGAAAAAAATATACGTGGAATTTGTTTATTTATATCAAAAGTTAATTATGAAGTGGGAAGTTTAATTGTCGTGACAGTTGGTGCATTTATTGTTTATAGTCAATTGAATTTATCAATGCTATCAATACCAATAATATTTTTTGTCACCTTTATTTTTATGCCCGAGACACCGCATTATTTTTTAAAACGTGCAAATCATGAAAAAGCAATTCAAAGTTTATCAATATTACGCGGTACAAAAAATCGTAAATATCTTGAATTAGAAATTAATAGTGTTAAAAGTGCAATGGCAATTCAAAATGAGGAGAGTAAAAATATTTTTAAAACACTTGTCGATAAACGTTATCGTAAGGCATTGTTAATTGTATTTTTGGCAAATGTCACTAAAGGACTATCGGGTTCATATGCAATTAGTAATTATACACAACAAATTTTTAGTTACAGTGGTTTTTCATTAAAACCTGAATATGCAACAATTATTGTTGTTGGATTAAAAATAATAGCTGGTATTATTGGATCGCAATTAATTGAAAATATTGGTAGAAGAAAATTATATTTTTATTCTGGTATTTTGGGTAGTTTATCATTAATAATTGTCGGCTTATTTTTTTTTATGAAAATTTATTTAAAATTAAATAATCTTGATGCAATTAGTTGGCTACCATTATTTGGATTGACTTGCTTTCAAGTTGCATCGGCGGCAAGTTTAAATCCAATACCAATTTTACTTACAGTTGAATTATTTCCAATGAAAATTCGTGGTCTTGCATCAGCAGTGGCATTTATATCATTTGAGAGTTTTGTCTTTTTAATTACATTTGCCTTTGATCCACTCAATCAAATTGTTGGAATTTATACGACATTTTGGATTTATGCATTTTGCTGTATTGTCGGTAGTTTTATTGTTTATCGCATTACACCGGAAACTAAGGGCAAAAGTTTAGAGGAAATTCAGGATTTGTTAAAATAGACATTCAATTTTTAAAAAATTTTTTTTTCTCGAATTTTTGGAAAAAAAAGAAGAAATTTTTGTAAGCAATTAATAAAAATAAAGAAAAATTTAATTTATATTGTATAATAACAAAATTCCTTTTTATTTTGATTGGAAAATTGAAAAATTTGAAACATGATTTTATACTTAATGAAACATATGTAAATTGTTAAATAAAATTTACTTTTTGGCATTTATCGATCTGACAATAAAGTTACTAAGTGATAATATATTCTGAGAAGCATCTCAAGAAAAATACAGATTAAGGCTCCTAAGCACGGATTTAACGCTTATTTATACTCTGCTAAGTACCGGCATTACGCTGTATTACGACCCTAATAGCCGGTTAAACTTTTTTCTCGTCGCTCTCCTTTTTTTTTTTTTTTTTTGTTCCCAAACATATATCCTTTTAAACGATAAATCTTATTTTATTAAGTTAAAATATCCTTAAAATTGTGATTTAAAAGAAAAAAGTTGAAATTTAATAGTATTCAGCGACGTAGGAAGTTCAAAAAATACCGTTTTGATATTTCCCTACCAGGGCCCTAGTAGGGAATGAAACGCCAGGGCCAGATCAGGGCGACGAGAAAAGGTAGATTTCCTAATCAGAGCCACATCAGGCGTGGCGTTTCATTCCCTAATAGGACAGCCCGATCCGGCCCCGATTTGGGCCCTGACAAAATTTCTGTACGAATAGATCGAGAAGCATTTTTTTTTTTTTTTTATTTCACGATGGTGAATTGTTTAAAGAAAAGGTACTTTTTCTTACTCCTTTTTTTTATATTTATATTGTATAGTAATGTTTGGATTTTTAAAGAGAGGAAGACAAACGTTTTTATGGGTTTCTCAGGTTTAAAGGACCGCAACCCTGACTTTAAGTATTTGATTACAGCCTTTGCAGATCGTAACTCCATTGAGTAACTACCCTTAAGGTGTAACTACCTGCGCTCTCACATTTCGCCTTTCCCTCTCTCTCTCTCTATTTCTCTCTCTCTCTCTATATTCGCGCGCGTCATACAATACTTTGTTACAGGGCCGTTAATTTTAACGTGCGCTACGTGCTTCTGATTTCTTTAACTTTTTCTTTCTTTATGACCAAAGCACGCTTATTTCCAAGTACCTTGCACACGCACTGACCCTTCAAGTCGTTGTGAAAAATTTTAACAGTGATCAGACTCGAGTAATCGACAAAAGGTGAGAAACGCTATCAGTATTACATTACGTGTAAAAATATTTGTATTTCACATTTCTATAACAGTTACGGTACATTTATACTATTTTAAATACAGTCACTGTACAGTTGAACTATACTGTAACTAGTCTAAAATTTAACGCTTCGATCAAGTTTCTAGATACGTCATCTATATGGAAACTATGTAGATTATTTGAAAAGGTCAGAGTAGTTATGTTATCTAGTTTCTAGGCAGTTAAACTATGTGGATACTATCTATTTTCTAGGTAGTTGAACTGAATGAAAACTATCTAGTTTCTAGGTAGTTAAAATATATGGAAAATATCTAGTCTATATACAGTTACAGTACAGCTATACTGTTTTCTATATAGAAACTGTATAGTTAAAGTACACCGAAACTAGGCAGAAACTAAACTTACTTAAACTATATGAAAACTATCTATTGTATCTACATTATGTGGAAGGGTCAGGACAGTTATGATATCTAGTTTCTAGGTAGTTGAACTATATGGAAACTATGTAGTATCTATATAGTTAAACTATGTGGGAATTATCTAGTTTCTGCATAGTCGAACTATATAGAAACTACCTTGTTTCTATACAGTAAAAATATTTGTATTTCACATTTCTATAACAGTTACGGTACATATATACTATTTTCAATACAGTTACGGTACAGTTAAACTATACTGAAACTAGTCTAAAATTTAACGCTGCAATCAAGTTTCTAGATACGTCAACTATATGGAAACTATGTAGAATATTTGAAAAGGTCAGGGTAGTTATGTTATCTAGTTTCTAGGCAGTTAAACTATGTGGAAACTATCTAGTTTCTAGGTAGTTAAACTGTATGGAAACTATCTAGTTTCTAGGTAGTTAAACTATATGGAAACTATCTAGTTTATATTCAGTTACATTACAATTATACTGTTTTCTATATAGTCACTGTATAGTTAAAGTACACCGAAACTAGGCAGAAACTAAACTTACTTAAACTATATGAAAACTATCTATTGTATCTAGATTATTTGGAAGGATCAGGACAGTTATGCTATCTAGTTTCTAGGTAGTTGAACTATATGGAAAGCATGTAGTGTCTATATAGTTAAACTATGTGGGAATAATATAGTTTCTGCATAGTCGAACTATATAGAAACTACCTAGTTTCTATACAGTTACAATATAGTTATTCTGTTTACCATATAGTCACCAGAACAGTTAAACTATACCAAAACTAGTTAGAAATTTAGCGCTACAATCAACATGTTTCTGGATATTTAAACTATATGGAAACTATCTAGATTATTTAGAAAGTTCGTGGTAGTCATACTATCTAGTTTCTAGTCAGTTAAACCATATGGAAATTATCTGGTGCATATCTGTAAATTGTTTATCAATCATTTATAGGGAATTTTATTTTTCTAATTTTTAAATTTTATAGTAATGTTTTATTATTAGTAGTAAAAGTATATTTTAGTCAGCCAGTAAATTCTTATTCAGACAGAATACAGTGTGAAATTTTTACAAGTTTTAGTAGTATATAAATCAATCAATTTAAAAATAGATGACATCTCCACCAGGAGAAGTGAAATAAAATTAAAAACAAAAAAAATTCATAAATGCCATGACCTTTAATCATAATATAATCAATACTGACAGAAATAATGCTTGTAGTATATGTCATATTATAAATTGACAAATGAACTAATTATTCAATTAGGTGGTAAAAAATAGCATCAAAAAAAAAGAAGAAATAAGTGAAATTAATTTTCCTCAAATGTGACAAATTAATGGAAGAGAAGACAATAAATAAATAATTGATTCTAATGAATCAACATTATATATAGAATATAAATATATAAATTCGCATCAATTAGATACTTTCCAAGTCAACTGTGTATTTATTTATTATATATGCTGATATTTATATTTATTTATCAGTTTATTTTATAAAAAGATTTCGTCACTGTCTCCAAAATTGTACTAACAATATTCAAAAACATGTATAGGTTAAAACGAACATAACCTTAAAAATTGAGGACTTATGTCAAAATCCTAGGTTAAAACAAACATAACCTTAAAAAATCAAGGTCATATGTCAAAATCGTAGGTTAAAATGAACATAACCTTAAAAAAATTGAGGTCATATGTCAAAATCGAAGGTTAAAATGAACATAACCTTAAAAAATCAAGGTCTTATACCAAAATCCTAGGTTAAAACGAACATAACCTTAAAAAATCAAGGTTATATGTCAAAATCGTAGGTTAAAACGAACATAACCTTAAAAATTGAGGACTTATGTCAAAATTCTAGGTTAAAACGAACATAACCTTAAAAAATCAAGGTCATATATCAAAATCGTAGGTTAAAACTAACACAACCTTAAAAAAATGAGGTCATATGTCAAAATCGAAGGTTAAAATGAACATAACCTTAAAAAATCAAGGTATTATACCAAAATCCTAGGTTAAAACGAACATAACCTTAAAAATTAAGGACTTATGTCAAAATACTAGGTTAAAACGAACATAACCTTAAAAAATCAAGGTCATATGTCAAAATCGTAGGTTAAAACGAACATAACCTCAAAATAGAAACCTCCCTAGGATATATATATATATATATATAGAACAATTACTGAATGTGTGAAGAAATACTGTTTATTTGCAAGAGCCATTAATATGTATTGGTAGAACATTAGCATGAATTCCCAGAGGCGATATTCTTAGCACATGAATTTCATGCCGCGATTGTATTTGTGTGTACTTAATGTCCTCGCCAAAGCTTGGAAGATAGTTACCAACTAAAGCTCAACGAAGTGAACGGTATAGACTCTCTCTCTCTATATATATATATATTTTATAGAAAGGGGAAAGGGGGAAGAGGTTGCTCTTGTCGAGACTGCAGACAACTAAGTTACCCCTAATGTCCTGCTTATGCGCAATTATTGTCTTCGACAAACACAAGAACACACCTTACCCAACACACCACTATACTTCATTTTCTCATCGATTTCATACCATTCAACATAGTTATAGATTTTAATTTACTCTCAAAACTTGTTACCCATAAGTTTTCCCACTAAATAATTATATTAATTAAAAATTTTATAATATTAGAAGTTTTATTAATTAGAATTTTTAATTATTAGAATTTCTAATAACTAGAATTTTTATTAATTAGAATTTTTATATTATTAACTTTTTTCACATAAAACGATGATTTTTTTTTATTTCGAATAAAATCGATAATAATTAAACGAAATATAATTGTATCCAATAATTTTGTATGATTCTCATGAGAACATTGTGAGAATTGTTGAAAGGTAAGTGCGAGAGAAGCTTAAAACATAAAATGAAGAGGGTTGGTCGTTACGGTTCAACTAGCAGACCCTGACTGCAGAGATAAGCGCTTTACCAAAAGCACTTATTTTGACCAACCTTCCCCCCTCTTTCCCCCTCTTTCCTTTTCCCATACCTCCAACACTTACCCTGCAATACCATAGGAAAAGTTCACTAAAGCAGCTGATTCAGAAATTTACCTGTTTTTTTTTTTTTTTTTAAATTCACCTTACATTTTCTTCTCACAAAAAAAAGAATAGAAAATATTTGACAACAATCACAATAATACGATGTAAAAAATATTGCACTGAAAATAACAGGAAATTTTCATGGAAATTCATAAAATTTCCATAAAATTTTCATAAACTTTATACTATAATTTTTCAAAAAAAAAATTTCCATATGGACTTTCCATTAATTTTCCGTGGGAATAAAAACAAATTTTTATGTATTTTTTTCATATAAAAATTCTATTTAATTTCCATATGGAATTTCCATAAATTTTTCTTTAGAAATTTAATCAAATTTTTATCAATTTTTCCAAATATATATATATATATATATTCTATTTATTTTTCCTCGGATATTCCATTAATTTTTACCAAAGGAAAATTAAATTAAAATTTTCAACGATTTTTCACAGAAATTCCATCAAAAATTTAC